TTTTATCTGACTTAGATGATGGCCATTTAAAAGTAAAGAATGTGAATGTCAGCATATATACATAGCTATCTTTCTATCTCTATAGGCTCATACTGGTGATGGGTAGCATAAAAATGACATACAACTTGCTGTCATGTATAGCTGGGTAGTGAATAGACTGGTTTTGTGTATGTGCACGTAGGTGAGAGGGATGTATCTGCAAAGCCTGAGGGAAGTTTTAGTCCCTATCGTTTTGCAGTAGTAATGGAAGTGAATTTGAAATACATATTTCATAATACTGGATTCAGTTGTATATTTAATTGAATATTCTGCAATTTGGCTCTGTGTAGAGTTAATATTTTTATGTAAAGCATTGCTCTTGCTGGTTAAATGGATGAACTGTGAGGTGACAGATAAGAACGTCCAACAGAAATTCCAATTTATGTTTTTTTAAATATAAAAAGGCTCTTTGCTTAAAATTTTATGAGAGCCTAAAACTGTAACTTGGATTATGTGAGTGCTGCTTTCATCTTTGATGCCATCTTTAAATGACAATGAGGTTACTGAGAGTGGCAGAAATTGTCTTCACTCTATTGAGGCTCAGTAAAACCTACATTTTAAAAAAAAAAAAAAAAAAGGCAAGACAGTAAGAAAGTATTTCCTGCAAATTTCCTGCAGATTGCAGGAACTTTTCATTGGACGTTTAATGATCTTTATTATTTAACTCTTCCCCAACCTGCTGTGAGTTAGGTTCGGCTGCAGACACAATAGATCTGCTGGAGAAGCCAGCACCATAGAACATTATTAACTTTTGAAGAAATAAAAAAGCAGGACTATGTTGAATAACTTTCCATTTTGTTCTTTGAATTACTGGTTGGACAGCCAAAATTATGCAAATGCATGACTACATGTCAGGTGTCTGAATGTTATGAATTATGATTAAGTAATTAAATATTAGTAGGGGTTTTTTATTATCATTGGTCTTTAAGTTCTTATTCACCTACTAGTTTTAGTAATGAGGTCTTGAGCACCAGGATCATTAGTTACATTCTCATGGCTTTGCGTTCTAGTAGGATCTAAATTGCTCATATTTAAAAACACTTAGTAAATCAGTTCTTTAAATACTTTGTTAAATATTTGAATGGGCAGAATTTTTCTAATGCACAATCAGTTATGTATGTTAGAAATGTACAGAGGAAAAGTATGTTAGAATTTGTAAATTTGTTGATAAAAGTGAGCTGGTAGCATCTCTTAGTGCATTTCTCAGGCAATATTTCATTAATTTTAGGCATTGAATGTCTAAGATAAATTTGTCAGCATGGGGAAATTTACATATTCCAGTCAAGGAGTAAATCTTTTAGAATATTGTATAACTTTATTCAGAATCTGTGCTAATGTGTCAGTGAATCAAAGAAGAGCTTTGCTTTTTCTTATTTGATTTGCTGTATAAAATACCTCACTTTTTGAAAGATTACTGTGTTTTGTATGATGAGCTGTGAATTTTTTATAGAAACTAACCAAGAAACTAACATGTTTTTCATAGTCTGTACTGATCCTGCTTAGTCTTCTCTTACCCCTAACTTATACTTAAAAATAGAGCGGGTAGGAACATTACTGTATTCGGTTACTTACCTACTAATTTTACCAAGAAGAAAGAAGGAACTGGTTGAAGAAATACTTGATGGCTGGAAAATATTTCAGCATTTTGAATGATTTAATTAAACTACTAGAATACCTCAGAAGCAGTACAGACAAAACAATTCCTAGAACGTGCTACTTCAAAACCATTCTGCAAGCTTGATCCAAACTTCATTTCAGAATGCAAACATTTTAGAAACTCCTAATGCGTGATGAACGTACCCATATGTCTTTATTGGGGTGGATTGCCAATGAAGCTAGCACCTTCAGTATTGATTAAGATGTGGAAAGGGTGTTGATAGTTTCCAGGGAAGTCTTAAATCAATTTGTGTAGAGGCTGATTGATTGTCTGCAAAAGCACAGCATTGCTGGAGGTTAAAGTCTGCTCAAAGCAGCTATTACGCATTCCACCCACTAAAACAGTGCCCAGTTTAATCAAATTCAAAATTGTTCCATTCTGTAAGTCTTCCAGGTTTTCACACATGGACTTGATTAGACATGTTACTTGTATTCAGAAGGCGTGGTAGAAAATAAAGGCAGAAACTAGGGATGGAGTTCAAGTCCTGCTCTTCTGAAGGCCTCGTGTATCCTTGTGGGCATGCCACGTTGCTGGTCTGCAAATTGAGTAAACAGGACTCTACTTTTACGTAGATCGCTGAGAGCATTAATACCTTGTTAAAGATTGGCATACCATAATTATGGGGTCAGTATATATGCATATTAGACACGTTCATTAAGTCAAACAACCAGTATTGTTTGCAAAGACAAAAGTTGAATAAAAAAGTTCTGTTTTCTTTCAACATTCTCATGCAGTCAGGTGCCCACCAAGCATCTGTGTTTGAATCCTAGCACACTGGGCCTGTATGCTTATGAGCTTCACTTCGTGTCAATAGTGTCTTACTTTAAATTTTTACTTGATCTCTCTGGCATCCTTCCTGCTCAGAAATCCCTTGCTGTCATCATGAATACTTGCAATTTGACCACGCTGTGTATTTCATCCCCTGTCTCTTAGGCAAGCGCTGATAGTCCAGAATTCAGTAGTATTTGCACAGTATTCCTTGAGTTTATCATTCCCCTCTTCAAAGATACACAACCATTGAAGCAAGCATGAACCCAATATTTTTTTCCAAAACTAACCTTTTCCTGTTTTAGATAGGACAAAAGAAATATGCAGTTCTAAACTAAATAATAGTGCCTAGCTTTGTTTCTCCCCCTTCATTTTCTCGCCGTGCCCTGAGAGGACCAGAGTCTGTGGTCCTTCCTTTCCCTCCCCTGCTGCCCTGCAGCATCGTTTGATCTCCGCTCACTCTAGTAGCCAGCCCTCTGCATATTTTCTGGCTGAGTGGCTGTGCCAGATAGCCAGCAAGAGACAGTCTTTTAATAGTCTCTGTTCACTTTTATTACTTCGTCTCTGGTGCAGCCTCATCAAGTAAACAACATCCCCCACTATGCACTGTTCAGTCCTTAAGCCTGTCTTGCCATGGGCAGCAGCCCGGAATTTTATTCAAGGACTTGCACATAAATAAGGGATCACCCGAGGGTAGTGGCCACCTAATGGTACCCTTGTAACACTGTGTCTTGAAGTTACAATCCAGCATGTATTTCAGAGGACAGCATGGAAGGCAGATAAATCCCACATTCAAAATGCAGTTGCAGTTTTGCAGATACACAGAAAAAGAATTAGTATGTTCTTTTTGTGGGATCATCCCATTCTTTAATTTGAAATTGCCACTCTAATTTCATCTTTTTGTATCTTTGTGTGTAGAGAATTAGGAAATCAAGCAGTCCTTGCAAATGGTCATGACAACCTTATAGAGATGGATGTGTTTTCTCCAACATATCACGATAGCAGTTATGGGTATGTGACTCTAAGTGTTTGCATGATGCTAACTGTTGACACAGAAGACAAAATGTGATTTAAAAAAAAAATTTGGTTGCAATAGTCAAAAACATCTGGGACAGACTTCCTCATCTTTATACATGATTTCTTAAAAATTATACTTTAGATAATTTGTTATACTGACTCATGGTAAATACAAAATGGTAACCTTTGACTGCCAAATCTTGTTTGCTTTCACTTCAGAAAATAAGAGTGCAATTGAGGTTGTATGAATTCTCTGTGGCCTGATTCTGCGAGCTGTGGCAAACTATTTACATCATTATGTATTTGCCAGATCTGATCCTTAGTTTGTAATATGTTTACTACTTAGCAAATGTTTGTTTTAGAAATATTATGACATACTAATATAGCATAAGGAATGACCAATCAAAGAAGTTAAGAATAATTATATATCTAATATGTAATATTTTTACCAGCTAGTTTGAAATCGGAACTGCTGATAAATATGTAACTAGAAATAAAGAATTCCATATAAATGAATATTTCAATTTGTTTAAATAAAATTTATATTATAGAACTGTTCCATATCTACTTAACTTTGTCATTAATATCTGTCTTATATTTGAACTGGTTTGGCATTCTAATGCCAAATCAGTATACTTAGTTTCTGATTCACACCAAAAAAAACCTTGACAAAGCAGCACCATTTCTAATAAGTTCCAGCCTGTTAATGAGCATAGTATGCTAAATTTTAGTAAGGAATTATTAATCATAAATTTACCTTTTCTTTTTTTGTTTATACTAAGGTGAAAATCAGAGCTTTATGTCCAAATTCTGTTTTGCTAATTGTAACTCTTAACACTATAAAAGGGATAAGGTGCTATTTCATTAAATGAGGAGATCTGCATCTGCCCGTTAATAATTAATTGATCTGTAAAATATATTGACACTGTACATTGATCTGCTTTGTGTTCCAAAAACTCTTAAACTTTCGCTTAGCCACAAATTAAAATCAACAGCAGGAAGAGAATGGTATGTTAAATTCAATTAGTTAATCATTATCAGCCAGGTCAAAGATGCTGCAGATATTTACCGGAAGATCCTAATATATTTTCTTTAAAGTAAAAATGTAAGCATACTGTATTAAAAAAGAACAGAACCAAATATTACTGTTCCCTGTAGACCAATTATTATACAATACTGATTCAGATGCATAATTGCTGAAGTAGAGTTAATAGAACCATGCCTGGTTTATACTTTATATGTTTGTAGTGGGACCACCAAATGCAAGTATTTTGGCAAATGGACTATGTTATATGAAATTCCTGTTAGTTGATACTAGTTCAGGTAACAAACAACGAAATTTATCTTGTTTGTAATCCCTTCATTTTTAAAATTATGCTAGCAGGGATCATCTCCTGGTGTGAAAGTTGTCCAGAGATAATAACACATCAGTTCCAAAGCATAATAGATTTGAGACTATAACATGCTATCAGCATGAAGATTCAGTTTATCAACCTCGCTAACATACTGTGTCACAGCTAGAATCATTATATATTTGTTTCTTTGTTTTCATGTCATGCGTGTGTTACATTATGATATACTATTTCTTAGTTTGTATGGCTTATGGAGAGAATATTAATCTAATGAATTTGACAATTTTAGTGTTAATAATGATAATAGAAATAGACATTTTCCATAGAAATTCTAATGATTCATAGGCCTAGACCCAAAGAATAGTTGTTTATAGCTTCAAGAGATTTGTGTGCAGTGCATTAATTATCACAAGACAGTTGGAGTCTTGAAGTATTTCAATGGTATGTATTGTTGGCTTTACTTGGTGCCATTATTCTTTTCTCTCATATGTAAACATATGTTAGTATATATGTTGTCAAATCAGCTTAGTTTGAAGTAAAAAGTCTGTTTTTCTTTTACCTAACCTGATAGTCTTCTCCCCAAGTCATCTAGATGTCAAAATCCCCAAAAAAAAAGTAAGATGCACTCTCAGTGAATTACCATATTTGTATTTCTTATAGATAAAGCTTCCTAGCATTTTCTATTTCTGTAGAATCTCCTCATTTCCTGAAAATTTCGTAGCTTTGCAGGGTTGGGGTTTGAAAACTTTCTGTTGTATGTAGGTAAAAGTTCTTTACAGGGACGTTGGCTGGGTATTTTTGTCATCTGTTGGGGAGTAAGTTCAGGAGAGCTGAGCTTAAAAGAGGTCAGGTTGTTATAAGGGCATAGTGACTTAAATTTAAGAGTAGAAGAAGCCAGGGGTGCAGAGTGGAGAGGAGAAAACTGGAAATGACTGGGCACAAAAGGGGTAGGAGTGAGTGTGCAAATGGAGTAGTGCAGAAGGAGAAGCTGAGAGTGGTTGGTTAGGCAAAGTAGGACTTAGGTAAAATGCTAGAGGACTAGAAGCTGAATATCTAGGATGAAAAACGGGATTATTACTTGTCCTTTACTGTTTATGATTACTTGTGAATCCCTTTTGAATAGCATGTACCTCACCACCTATAAGACTGACTCAAGATGATGAGAAACTGGCCTATGCTCTACTAGTGACATAAGCCAGAAATAATCAAACCAAAGATTTTGTGTCTGTGATGGCCTGTGCTGATAAGAAGCCTTTCAATGCAATTGCTGAAGTTTCAAGAAACTTAAAAAATCACAAGTTAAACAAAAACCCACTTTACTAAGAAAATGTCATCAACACCATAAAGTTAAGCACACAAAATTTACAAAATTAAAAGCTAACCTCTTTCTGCAGTTACATGGCTGCAGTTGAGCCTGCCATCCCACTGAGTGCAGCTCTAGTTGAACCAGAAAGGAATTTTAACAGATTCTGGAGATTCTTTCTGTCATATTCAAACAGGTGAGAGAAGAACACCAAACATCATGGCAGAGCAGAGACCTGGATGACTGTATAGTGCCAGCATCCCGTGTCTCTGATAATGTTCGTTGCACAAAGAGAAGTCCAGCTCCAAAAAGGCATATGTGGAAATAAGTACCATTAAAGATAAAGTGTCACCCTCTCCTGGGCACAAGGTGTAACCCTCTGCCATGAATCCCTGAATGGTGGTCTCTCAAGGCTACAAATCTTGGCATGTTGCATATGAGACTGTATGCAAGTGTAGTATACAAGTTTTCACTGAGGAACAATAAGGACTGGAAAACAGGAATGATGGTTGCATCAAACATACACAGTTGCCAAGTTGGTGGTGGTGGCTGTAACTGGGAGGTTATGACAGTGCTGTCACTGTAGTGACATGAATCTGGCAGTTTGAGTGACTGCTGGTAGCACAGTAGTGGCAGCACAGAGTTCATCACGGGTTATCGCAGACTCTGAATTGCAAGAGAACCACAGCTATGGACATCAGTAAGTGAACTAAAGTTCACAGATCCATTATGATGGAAACTTCAGCCTGCTTGCAGCCTGAGGCAGAATGAGATCCTATCAGTCACTGGCAGAATAATACTTCGCTTCTTTAACTTCCCTCTGGTTTTATCTCTTTTTAAAATGTCCAGTAGCTCAGTCAGGTCTTTCAGCTGCAGATGAAATTTCAACCTTTGTTCCGACTTCTGAATTAATCTTTGGGTAACTAATGCAGCTCTGAGTCTCTCTTAAACCACATTTGCTTTTCGAAAATTTCTCCATGTGCCTTTTGAGACATTTAGAGCAATTGTTCTCTTTTGGCTTTATGAAGACAGCAAGGGTAGTAAAAGAGATTGGAGGAGTACTTGTGCCCTACCTTTCTTTGATTTTCTCTCTGGAAAGCTTAGCTTAGTCAATATTCAAGACAGGAGTTGTCAAAGATTAGAATACTTCATCTCAGAGACAACTTTCTCTATCTTGGTAGGGATAAGATTCCAGAAGAGCAGAGAACAAGATAAGGAATTGTAATACAAATTCTTACTGCTCACATGAGCATTTCCAGTCCTCACTGCAAAATTCGAATGCTTTTCTCTACTCTCTCTTCCTTTGGAGAGAGGAGAACTGGAATAGCGTGAACACTGTCAGTATCAGAACATGCACTAAGGGGCTGATACTCCTTCAGAAGTGAGTATCACCAACAATATCGAGAGCTGAGTCACTTACCGTAACCTAGATGGAAGTCTGTGTAAGTACTAGTCCTCTGAGAGACCCAGAAGAAGCCTGTAAGGAGAACAGAACCACTTGATATTTTTTCAGCAATACATAAGTCTAGTTTCACTCTCCGCTGGAAAGCAGATAATGGGACAGTCCTGCAATGAAGAGTATGAATAACTAAAATTGTGACAGGTTTCTCTGCTTGCTTGCCAAGCACCATGAGTCATTCTCTGCATCAGACTCTCCTGCTCACTTCTGCAAAGTGTGGCTTGGCATTGTTTGTTTCTCTTGCTCATCTTCACAGAGGACAGCATACCAGAGAGGACCACGAAAGAGCAGGCTCGGCAGAGCCGTCTGATTATACTGGTTCTTTTGATCCTAGATATGCATTTATGTATCACAGAAGTGAACTCCTCCTTCTCCAGAGGAGAGAGCTATCAGCCCAAATCTGAATTTAGAGGAACAAGTAATAGGATGTTTACAGGTGCTCTCTTCATGTTCTAACACTATATTCTTTCTTACACCACGAAGAGGTAGGTGGATTGCAGAGGAAGAGATTTACTCTTGCACACCTAAAGAGAGCAAGTTTGGGGCTTCTGTCAGCATCCAGTCCTTCAGGTCACCATGTCCTGGTGGCTTTCACAGCAGATTGGGATTCTGTCATATTTAAATTGCTGTTTGAAGCTTGAGCTGCAGGTTGCCGTGCCTGACTTCTCCAGTCTTGCTCCAGCAGCAGCCAGCGGTGGAGCAGTGACCTGCCAGGGACCAGATGTGAAAGAACGCACAAACAGTAAGGAAGGCACTTGCAGCCCTAGTAGTACTTTTCCTCTTTCTTGACTTTCAGTCTTCAGTTTGTGAAGAAAGCGAGTCCTCAGTGTAAACCCACCCAAATTCAAGCAAGTGTTACCATATGTAAAGCGTTTTTCTG